TTGATCACCGGAATGAAGGAGAACCAGGCAATGAAATAACCGATCACAATGGGGATGAATGCCAGACCCTTCTCCCAGGTGTTGAAGCCATGCTGGCTGTACACGAGCGAGAGCGACTGAATAAACATGAAAATCAGAGCGTCACTGAAACCACTCAGCAGAGAGAGGACCAATACAATGGGCTCCGTCAAGAACATCTTGAAAGGGCGAATCCAGGTCATCATGAGTTCGTGGGGTGGGAAGCGCTGACGGAATGACATGCCCTCGGTGGGACCGTAGATGTTGGGCTTCTCGCCAGACTTGCGCATTTTCTTGGCGATGCGATCCATCAACACAGTGGTTCGGGTTTCTGGGACAAAGAAGAAATGGGCGACCTGAACGAAACCGCCGAAGATCAACTGAATCCAGATGTTCCACCGCCACGGCAAGAAAGCCTCGACAAAGCCTCCGACGACGGGACCCAAAACCGATCCACCGACTGACGAGAAGACGACTGCTGCGACGGCATACTGTTGTGAATCAGGTTCCCACAAGTCTGCGATCATACCCAGGGTGACGGAGCCACCAGCGGAGGAGAGACCACCCAGGGCACGGCCAACCATGATGGAGGCGAAGTTGGGGGCGAGCGCCACAGGGAGTTGAAAGATGTTGACGAGGAGAAGCGAAGCCTGGAGGATAGGCTTGCGGCCCAATTCCTCACTCCAGGGTGCCCAGAGTTCACAACCGAAGGCGTAGAGAACCAAGAAGATCATGGCACCGCATCGCGCTGCCTGCATCGAAACGCCAAATTCCTCGGAGATTCCGGAGAGGGCGTTGGAGTAGAGTGACGTGTTGAAGTTCATGGATACTTGCACCAAGAAAATCACGGTGATGATGGTCCATTTCTTCGTTTCGCTGAAGGAGTATCCCAGTTGGTCGTAGCACATGTCCTCAGTGAGCTCGACCTGCTCCGACGGGGACGCCAGTTCCAACTGGTCATCTTCTTCCTCCAACTTTTCAGTAGCAGCATTGACCACAGCCTGGGCATGCGCCGCCTCTGCGGCCTGGACAGTGTCCCTAGGCTTCTCGAAAGCCATGATGGACAGAAGTATAAGATAGTAAGGTGTCACCAAGAAAACCCGGGGAAGGCAAGGATGAGAAAGAAAAGAGAAGAGAAGGAAGATCCAGAGGGAAGCAGGATGATTAAATACGGAAACAGCCAGAAGGTCAAAAGGGAAGGTGCCTCGCAGACTTGTACATGTATGGTATTGGTATTTTACGGGATGCCGACTTCTTTTCCCCATGTTTTTCCCACCTTTCGTCCCCATATATTCCTTTCTCTTCTTTTCTGTTGAAATACATCAAATGGAGATCAGATACATCTATTCTACTTTGTTCATATACACAGCTGATGGTTGTTATTTGCTGTGTTCTACCTACTTGCTCATTACACCGGATTGAGCCCACGGGGAAAGGAAAGTCTGCAATGGGGTAGACCCACCCTGGAGAAAAGGATGACGGCATTTCCCCGGAGACAACCTGGCGCCCCGAGCCCGAACTGGGCCGATACTTTGCCTAGGAATGACCGAATCGGGTAGTCTGTCCAGGGCGCCCATGCAACCTCGAGTCTACGCTGATATGCTGCCCCGCGAAGCAAGGAGTACATGTATACTGTGTTCGCGTGGTTCTGATACAATACGACGGGGCCAAAGGACCTGATGGATCTTCTTCTGACAGTAAAAAAATTCTGCGACGATACCATTCGTTGAAGACCTGCTTCGGTCTGTCCGCTGTGACGTCAAGGGGCCGCCAAAGCGCCAGTCGTTCGTGGGTCAGACGAAAGCCAAGCGCACGGCTACAGCGCCCCAAGGTCGCCATGGCGCCATTACGGGCGTGGCGTTCTGGCGTTCTGGCGATCGTCGTCTGGGCAGGGGCCACAAGTCTTGTCTGATCTCGGAGTGCGGTTACCTTGCCAGACAACTTGATCCCGGCCCGATCATCCAATCCCACAAATTCTCGCCGTAGTTTCCCGAATTTCCTTTCCAGAACCGTGCATGGAAGATTGACTGTCAACCACGAGAAATGGTCGATCGCAATCCCTTGCTTGACAGGGCCTCCCATATGTACTTACGTGTACAAGGTTTATTTCTTGAAATTCCCTCAACTTCGCCGAGCGTCGACTCCTTGCCTTTGTGGCAGACTGGGGCAAAAGACCAGACAGAACGTTCAGCTGGTTCACCAAGTCACATCGCCGAGGGTGGACCGCATGTACGTTGTCCGAAAACAACCACGACCGCAGGGGCTTCCCCCGGACTCGGCCTGGGGAATGCAACCTTGCATTCCTGCACGTGGCAAATTATGTCGCTGGAGGATCGACAAGATCGTATGCGAAGCCACGCGAGTGGTGATCTTTTCCGGCGAGGATCTAGGGATGGATGTTTACGCATTCACAGATACACTCTAGAACATGAAGGTTTGGCGCCACCCGGAAGGTCCGGTACCTGTTCCCTGTAGATTTGCAAGGTTGACCTGCGCACAACCAGGGGCCTCCAATTGCAGGAAGAAAAGATTTTACTGTGGCTGAAAAGACCTTGGTACGCCAAGTCTAGACCATGTTCCGGAATCGTGATCCTCAGGCTCGTGCTAGGAACATAGCTTGTACAGATGCAAACTCGTACACGCCAGATAGTGGGTGCGTAAAGGACAGTACACCAAGGAGTACACCAAACAGTACACCAAGTCAGATGTTTCATACTCCGTACATCCATGTAGTTACTCGAGGCACAGGGCATGGATTTTTTGTTTGCTTGGTTGCTTGGTTGCTTGGTTTGCTTAGTCTGCTTGATTTGCTTGGCACATTCGGCCTCAGGCAGAAATGGAACTAGTCCCTAAGCAGATACACATCATGTGACCGACCCCGCGAAAACAGGATGAGTCAGCAGATCTCAGGATGGCCTGACGTACGTTGCAGCTTGGAGCTTGCCATCATAGCTATTCGACATCAACACCATTCCAGATGTCTCCTGATCTCAACTCTCTCCCACCATCTCGCTCTTCCTCGATCTCTTCCTCGATCCCATACCGCATCATGCCTTCTGCTTCACCAAATGCCCCGCCCGCCACGGCGGCTACCACATCCCCAAGACCCTCCCGTGGATCAAGCATAGGCCGATTATCGGTATCTGAGCGCCGTCGGTCAGCTGCCGGCATAAATTTAAATTTGAATGAGATGCCGGCAAATAACGGCGACGCTGTCCCATCAGACCACCGCAGCTCCATCGGGCATGCGTTCCGCACAACCAGCCCATCCAGCCATGGGAGTAGTCCCGTCTTTGCGACAGCCGACCCCCATCATCAGCGAGCACCATCGCTGGGGGAGCTGCACCAGGAGTTGGAACAAGAGCAGGAAGCGCAAGTGGTTGGTCCTCACCTCACCTCTAGTGCAAGCACAATTGCATTAGCTGATAAGCTAACCTTTTTGCTCCACTAGAACCGCCTATTGCAGATGATTCGCAGTCAACAGGCCCAACTGCAGCAGTACCAACAGCAGAATGCACAGCAACCGAACGCGCAGTCAACGGCCGCAATCGACGACACCCCGTCATCTGAACGGTCGGCATTCTTACCCCCAACACATGCACCCACTGGTCCTGCAGGCAACAGACTGTCGATCTCGTCTTCTTTCTCGAACCGACGTCCCTCCCGCCCATCCAGTCAAGCAGCGTCGCCCAATTTGCGGCCGTTAGACTCTGGTGTGGAGGCATTCCCGGGGTTCAGTCCATCTCGGCGGGGAAGTCGGGACGAAAGTGCGTTTTACCAAGCCGAGGCTAGCTCACTTGGCCGAGAAAACATTCTACTCCGACAACGGATTCGGGAACTAGGTAAGACTATCAACTCTTTAATCCCGCAAACCCGCAATATTTCTGCGGCTACCCCGCTCCGCAGTGGAGTTTAACCTGGGCATTCTAACGCTGCATAGAGAGACAAATTGGAGAAATGACAACGTCCGGGGCATCTGCACCTAGATCTAGTGTTGTTTCCGGGCAAGCGGGCCCCGAGGCCGTGGACCCACATGCCGTGGGATCACGAGACGGTAAAGACTGAAATAAAACCCTATGAGCCTCGCAGTATCCCTACAAGGCGATGATTGACACATCATGCAACGCGGGTGTCAGCTTCATATGTGATACAATACCATGACGGAGTCAAATTCCTTTCCCATCCCAACAAATATCAATGTTGAACCCTTGGCGCCTAGATTTCGTAAAGGATATCGAGTCTATTCGCTTTCGCTTTATTTCCCTCATGACATGATGGGTTCCGAGCACCTGGGCAGCATTTTGAAATCTTTTGCAGACTCCTTCAATGACAGGTCGATGCGGTAAAAGTCTCATTGTCATGACAGTCTACGGTATGGCTGATTCCACTCTTTGTCGGATTTCATCTTGCTTTTCCAAATCTGGACAGTGTGGATTTCCTTTGCATGCAGAATATGTGGCATGTTGACAGACACTTCCAGTCCCTCGTGGCTATGTACAAATACAAATGCAGTACAACAGTACAATAATCGGGTTTAGCGCGTTTATCGTGTCTAACGGATTTGTTTCCTGTAGACTCTCAACGAACGAAAATAGGTATTATGCTATGAGAACCCTTCACTGACAGCATTTATGAGCGAGTTTTCGGCGATTGGGTCAAGGGGTATATAGAACTTATAAATCGGGGTTACTTGATAGACATGATATCAGCTACAAAGTCTAGGTGACGTGAAATCTAGTGCAGCTGAAGCCACACTTCTTTCTTGAGACAAGTCCTTCTGTACGCATAGGTAATAATCTTAATATATATCATGTAATTCCAATCAACAGCAAAGAAAGACAATCTAAAAGAAATAAAGTCTTATACAAGATAGCGAAGTAAATACCTTGATGTAAGATATACCTTCTATCGGAACGAGGTACATGTAATAAAAAGATAAAATCTCCCCAAAAGCAAAAAACCGGGTATATGCGAGAATACATTTACAGCTTCGGCTTCTCGGGCTGAGCGACCAAGTCGGGCATGAGGAGGTCGCGCAGTTCGGTGGCGGCCTCGCTGAGGTAGTGGCTCATGCGCTGGGCGCCGAGACGCTTGCAGACGATGTTGAAGTTGAGGCTGAGGAATAAAGGTTAGCTATGTGACAAGACAAAGACAGATAAATAGAGTGGTGGGAAAGTGTGGTGGACTCACCTGTTCTCGTTGATCATGTAGGCAATTCCGAATCCATCATCGATGACCTGACTCCATCCGTATCCGTTGAAGTACTCAGAACTCAACTGGGAAGTGGACAGGTACCAAGAGCTGGAGTAGGCAAAAGCAGGGTCCTGGTAGATCTCGGGCAGCTTCTCGCCGGGCTGGAGGAGTTTCTTCAGACCGAAGAGGTGACGGTCGACGCCGTGGCCGGCGCTAGCCTCTTGAGTGTACTTGGTGTGTTGGGCGAGGGCAGCACGGAACAGCTTGACGACCTCCTCGCGGGGGGTGGTGTGATCCTGGTGGGCCCTGCAGAAGGCGACGCTCTCATCGGAGACGGAGCGGGTGGTCTCGGTACGGCCTTCGGCGTACTTGCGGGTGGAGGCAGACTCGTAGGTGGGACGGTTCTTGCCGTACATCTTGAAGTAGGCCAGTTGGATGGTCATCTGGACGAAGGCGTCGGGGCTGCACTTGAACTTCTTGATCAGGCCCTTACCGTAGCCCTGGTAGGCCTGGACGACCAGCTCGTGGGAGGCGATCTGCTTGCGGTGGTATTGGGCGGCGAAGTCGATGGCCTCGTTGGACTCGTCGTTCAGCTTGAAGTTGATGGGCTTGGGGTCTGCGAGCTGGGAGCGAACAGACTTGGGGGAGAGGTCGATCTTCTTGTTGAAGATGAGGTTGTTGACATGGTCGTTCAGACGGTGGGTGGGTGTTCCATCCATCATACTGTGTTCACCCATGAATCCAGCGGTACCGTTGTCATTGACAATGAACTGGAGAGGCTTGTCGAACCAGCGGTTGGAGCCATCACCGTGCCAGTACTGCTGGGCGCGCTCCTCGAGGGTGACGGGCTTGGCGTCATCCAAGCAGATCACAAAGCCAGCCGACTCAATATCCTGAAGAGCAAGCTCGTTAGCCGCATCGGCAGCAACAAGCTTCTTACGAGCAGCAGTCCAGTGGTCACGATCAGCAACAGTCAAGACACCGACCGGCGGCGCAGGCTGTGCGATCTCATAGATACGCTCGAACTGCTTCTCCAGCTCAGAAACATTGAGCTGCTGACCATCCACGACAAAAGGCACCTTGAAGAACTGGTTCTTGCGCACAACAACAATGTGCTGGTTTTCAGCGGCAGCGTACTTGCGGGGGAAATCAGCCCCCTCGGCAGGGATACGGCAGCAGTTGAACATGTACTGGTAAGAGCTCATAGCCTGAGGCTCCTTGCGGAGATACTCAGGCTCAAGGGAACCATCATCAACCTGCGCCTTGAACTCCAGCGCCGCAGTGGTAATAGCAGCCGCGCGCTTAGCAGGGTTACGACGCTCACGGTCATCACGGTAAGAATAGAAGTAGGAGACGTAGGGGATAACAGGATCCCGGTAACCGAGGTAAGCGGCCTGATTCCACCACTCCGCAAGCCAGTTCTTGATCTTAGGATCGGCTGCACGAGCCAGCAGACGCTTCTGTAAAGGCTCACCCTGACCACCGGGGCGGATAAAAGCCTCGACAGCGTTCTTGGTGCGCTCGTACTCGGCCTCGGAGACGACCGCGTGGACGGATTTCAGGTACCGACGACCTGTCTCTTCCAGGGACGGCACGGGGAGTTGAGGGAGGGAATCTTCGAAACGGAGCATTTTGCCCTTGGAGAGATTCTCCTTGTATCCTGGTTATAGCGTTAGCGATTGCGATTCCGACTCCGATTGCAGCGCCGTTGAGCGGAGGTCCGCGCTGCATGCATGTGACACTCACCCTCGGGGACGGACGAAGCTGCTCGGCGGGGGGCCATTGTGAGAGTCTGTATGGGAGTGTGTCAATAAATTGTTGCCAGGAGAGATCCCGAGTCTGCGAAGCTGCGAAGCTGTGGAACTGCTCGAGAATCGGAGGAGGGCGACTTACCGAGCGGGCTAGGAGAGGGTTCGGGGGAAGCCGTTGCCTTGAGAGGGTGGAGAGACGGCTTCGCGCAGAAGCAGTGAACATCCCTGTGATTTAGAAAGTAGTTTGAAGGAGAAGATGAAGAAGAAGCTGGACTTAAGTTAGGAGAGATCCAAGTACAAGCCAAGTCCGTGAGCCTCGGTTGGCGGGGAAGCCGGTAAAACACGGTATGGCCGTTACGGACGGGACCGAATTGCTTCCCGAGGGAAACACAGTCAAAGTATAGAGGAATAGAGGGAGAGTGAGGGTATTCAGGGCTATTTACTACATAGAATCAAGACTCACAACCTCACTCTTTCAATGTTGAATGTCCAGCTTCATCGCATTCACCTCTGTATGTAATTTATCCAGTATTACATAACTCCACACCTGAGCCTCGGTTGATGATGTCGTCGATCTCGGTCACAAGGGATATCAGATCGAATATTCTAGTTGGCCTCTAACCTCTAGTCAACGTCAAGTGTCAACTATGTAATGTAAATTATAACTTATAACACCTGAACTTAACTCGTATACTTCACAAATAGGCTCCGGTGACCGGGCGATCAATGGCCTGCGGGGAGAACTAGCGAGATTTTATACCTCCACAGTCATTTACAAACACAAAGAGCACGAACAAGTAAGAGTACGAATAAGGTCGTAGATTATGTATATGGAAAATAAATCAAACATTACACGCCACCCCTTTCACCCGTACCCGTTGACCCGAACACGCAAACCAACGCAGGAGGTATCAAACAGGCCAGCAGAAACATGATAAACAAAGTCCAACGCCGTGGAGCGCCAAAGCGCACCGAAAAGGCCGACCGAAAGGAATAGATGAGAAAATAGTAGAAATGTTAAGATCTTAGTCAAGGGAGACCTCAAGTCCCAACGCAGATACGTAGTCATTATGAGACTGGCTGAACAGCTGCTGGCTTGTCCTGCCCATCGATAGTGCGAGGTACTTGCACCCCGTTGCGGCGAAGCTCGTCCATCTTTGCCATAGCAGGCCCGGTGCAGATGCGACCGGACTGCATGAGAGTGCGGAGACGTTTGCGACGGGCTTCACCGCTACGTTCTTCGCCACGTCCGACACCCTCCTCAACCCAGTCTACAGCATGGACCTTGAAGCTCATGCCGTCGTGACGACCAGTATATTTGCGAGACTTGATGCCGAACAGTAAAGTAGAGTCGTACTGAGCGACACGGGGGAGCACGAGGAGAGTAATGTGCAAATCCTTGTCTGCGGGAGGTATGGGAGGTAGGCGTGGCTCCTTGGTGGGAGACTTGCCCTTGCTGCCTTCAGCCTCGGCAGGCGCTTGCGGTGCGTGCTGGTAGGTATCTTTGATCTCGAGATCGAGCATCGACTCGTCCACGTCCTCGCCCCAAGCACCGCGGATGAAACCGGAGTGAATAGCAGCGGCGACGGGATCAGAGTCATCTGTGTAGACGCCGGTTCCCCAGAGTGCTCGCCGTGCACAGATCTCTTCGCGGTGAGACTGGTCGATACGGAAACGGGGAACCCGAACGGTGAAAGTGCAATTCTCACGCTTCTCAAAACGAGGAAGAGGCCGAGGAGTTGTGGTGTAACCAAATTTGGAGCTATCCACAGAGGATCTAGCAGCTGGAGCACCAACACGAGGGGAGTACAGGGTTGAACCCAAATGATGACGGGGGAGGTGAGCCACGCTGGAAAGCAGGGGCTCGAGATTCACGGTGGTGCGAGGCTCGCGAATAGGAGACGCAGCCGGAATGGCCTGTCTAGGAGCATGGTGATGATGGTGATGGTGATGGGAATGATGGTGGTGTGCGGATGGATCCGCTGGGGATGTTCGGTGAAAGAAGTTTGCAGGACGATGAAGGGAGGTTAGAGTAGCTGCTTCTTCATCTGCTTTGTGGCGGTGATGATGGTGGCTAGAGAAATGTTAGTAACTGGAAACCCTACGCAGAACTGCTGAACATACTGATGATGGTGGTGATGAGCATGCCGAGACCTACGCGCGTTACGAGCCGATAGTACACCACGAGGGTCATTGGCCTCAAGTTCCATCTGCTCTTCATCACGAGGCCTCCTCGACCGCCTGCCAGAGGCAGAGGGAGGCCGAGCAAGTCTCGCCGCCTCATCGATAGCCTCTCCATTGATCGAGCGACCCGTAAGACTATCACGCTTGAACGGGCTGGAGCCCAAAGGTGTGGATGGTCCGCTTCCACCAGCAGAAGCCGTCACACCACCCACGCCACTTCCAATACCGGAGAAGACACGACCCAGATCATTCTTGATGGATGACTCCCCAGCAGGCCCAATGAACGGAGCCTGAGCACCTTGTACAGCTTGCGGCAGCGGAGAGGCACGGCCACCGCGCTTACCTTCTGCACCGACAGCCAGTAAGCTGCGATGGTGCAAAAGCTCATCACTTCCCTTGCGACGTCCCTCATCCGCCAAGGCTGCAAGCCCGGAGGAGGCGACCGCCGTTGAGACCGCTAAAGTAGGCGTGGACCCCAAGCGAGGAGGCTGGGTTTGGTGTCTGGCGTAAGGATCGTGAGGCGGAGGAGTTGGTTGGCTGTTCCGGGACTGTAGGGATATTTGTGATTGTCTGTTCCCGGGTTGCGACCCGAGCGACTTGGTGTAGCTCTGGATAGCCCCAAACCCGAAAGTTGACCCATGGTCCGGAGCAGGGAAGCGCTTACTCTCCGGCGACGGAGGGTGAGAGCGATGCTCCCACGTTGAGCCAGAGTCACGGTCCCGTGGATCGCGCTCGGCATAGTGAGAGCCATAACGATATCCAGGCTGCGACAACTTGGGATCCCCAAGAGTCGCAGCACGTTCTCGTTCCCGCTGTATCGCATCATCCATCCGCCGATCGCCAAACACACCTCCAAACCGACCGTGTTGCGAATCAATACCTCCATACGATCCTGACGCAGGTCGGGGGCCCGACTCGAAGGCTCGATCGGCGGCACCTCCACCTGGCTGGGAGATCGGACTGTAACCGGGCGGTCGGGAGGGTGTTTCAGCGTTTGGTGGTTGACTACTGGGTCGAGCGATCGGCCCGCTGAGGCTCATGCGACGGGGCTCATTGTAAGATACCTCTGCCGAGGAGATTCGAGGCGAAGGATGTGTCGAGTGTGGCTTCTCAGGATACTGGGAGAGCGACGAGCGCGCCAAGCCCCCGAATGTCGAATGCTCTGCACCCAGGCCCGAACCACCGGACCCCGATCGGTACGCACGGTTCGTCTGAGGCTTCGAGAATGGCTTCTCCGGTGTTTGTGAACGACGGAAGAAGGTGTTCTCGAGCGGCGATGGTCGTGCAAGGGCAGTCGGTGGTGACATGGCGGCAGACGATGACGACGGAGGCGGATTACCGAAGAGGGATGCAGATGGTCGCGAAAAGAAAGGCGCTGATTCTCGCGTCGGTTCTCGCGCAGGCCGGTCCGGGTCTGAACCTAGCATGGCGGAAATGGACATGCTGCTGCCCGGCCTGTGTGCCTGACTGGTCGGGACATCGCGCGACATGAGGGAAGCAGGCGCGTGGGCGGACTGAGCCCGTGATGAATAAGAGTGTGGAGGGGAGGGAGGGGGCATCTGGCGACTCCCAAATGCAGTAGATTGGTCGTGAGATGCTATCGAGTTTGCGTCAGTAGGGTCCCAGAATCCACCGCACCCGAGTGACGGAATTGGTGTATCGCAACATGGGATGGTTGCACAGACACGGCTTACCAGGAAACACAGGACTGCCCTGAGAAGTGCGACGCGAATGCGTGTTCATAATAGCACCCAAGCCTGTTTCGAGTGAGTAAAGGAAAGCAAGGGCCAGATCGAGAAGAACCCGTGACTCCGGAAGCTCAGCCGCTAGTCCGAAAGGGGCAGTGGCTCCTCTGGTCACGCTAGGCCTGACCTGGACTAGCGTTCCCGAGCTGTCCAGTCGATCGTCGGGGAAAAGCAGGAAGGGAAAAGTGTATGTGTAGGTGTAGGAGTGTAGGGATATAGATGTGTGCGTGGTGAATATGTGCAGGTGTATCGCATGGCTATGACCTCCAGGTCCAGGTTTGCTCGAAGTCGTCAAGTCCCCAAAGTGGAGTGCCGGCCCAACTCCGATCCTTGGTTTCCTCCTGAATCTGGGGAGCCACGCGACATGGGGAACAATAGGAATTGCGTACCTTCATTGCGAGATTGGGGCTGCGAATTATTCCTCCTATGTGATTGTCCATGGTGTCTGCTCTCTAAACTTCCATGTCGACGGTGGGTTGGCCTCGGCCCAGACTGAAAGTATGCGCTAGGATTATTGCCCCGGAGCAAAGCATGTGAAGTATGCGAATCGCGTGACGAACGGGCATTCCCCGGGTAGATCTGCGACGGTGAGGTCGAATTCGACGTAGACGTAGGAGAAACGTGTGGGCGCGATTCGTCGGTTTCCGGGCGATGAGACTGAGCGACAGACGCAGCGAAGGTGCGAGGTGGATCGGGCCGCTCTGGGGCCCCCAAAGGTGAGGGCCGGGGCTGATACGAGTGTTGTAGTCGTCGGTAGTCCATTCTCGTCCCCAAAGATGTTGGGCAGCAAGAGAGAGAAAATGTAAGAGAAAATATTATAAAAGGGAAAGTAGAATGGCGGTGGAGTGTATGCAATGCAGGCAAGCAGAAAGAAGAAAAGAGATGCAGGATCGGTGGATCGGAGATAGCGAGAGGGAGGGAACGTGCAGTAGGGCAGCGGTTGGGGGTCTTGGGTGTCTAGCGCGTCAAAGACATTTCCTACGGAGGCAAAAAAAAAGAAACCGGTGAATGATGACGGTGTCTGCTTTAGCGCTATGGGGCCAAGACTCATGCGGGGATTGGAGAAGTACAGGTTGTTTAGGCTGTCTAGGGTTACCCTGTCACTATCTCCGATTATGTATTTATTAGACACTTTTCTATAAAGGAAACAATGCAAATGCAATATAACTATAAATACAATATCAATGAATGACCCCATCGAGAGACTATATCCAATTTGACCGTGACACCCCCTAATCGAGGTGCAACCGGTGTTTCCATTTCAATGCACTCTTGGTCATGGCGCGTTCGGTACGCTCCCATGGGTAGTTGACCGGCGACTCACCTCCGGTAAAGATGAAGAAGTCATACAGGAAAGCACCGAAGAAGCCACCGCTCAGAGCACCAGCCCATGGTCCATAGAACCAATAAGGGTTGGTGAACATGGTGCTGGGGAATCCGACAGCAAGCAGAGCGAGGCGAGGGCCAAAGTCACGGGCAGGGTTGAATGCAGCACCGGTCTGGTATCCGAAGGTCATAGACAGACAGGCGATCACCAATCCAACGACCAGCGAGTTCATACCAGCACCGGGCGGGGCATTTTGGTCATCACCAAGCGCCAACACAGTGACGAGCAAAACGGTCGTGCCGATAAACTCGTTGAAGAAAGCTGTGGCCGGACCGACCCACGCTTCGCGCTGATTAGTCACAAAGCTGTTGATGATATTGGAGTCCGCGTTGAGGATAAGATAATTCGTGATAGACTGATAGTAGATACCGTAGGCGCAAAGACCCGCGCATAAGGCAGCCAGGAACTGGGCAGCGAAGTACTCGGGCATCAAGCGCTTGGGGAAACCACGGTAGAACCAGAGCACTATGGTGACAACGGGGTTCAGATGAGCACCGGAAACACCACCAGAAATGTAGATGCCCATCATGGTAGCCAGGCCCCAGCCCCACGCCGTGGTATTGGGGTTACCCTGGTTGGCACAGGTGACAGATAAATCGACACAGAAGCCCGTGGTGAGCTGGACAAAGACAGCCAGAGCCTCAGCAAGAGCTTCGCGGTGGTGAGTACGAATAACGGACCAGGTGGTGTGGTTGTTGTGCACTTCATCCTCAACGAGCTCTTGGACAAGCGGATGTAGGTCCTCGGGATAGTCTTTTTTCTCCAGGTCCGAAATATCCAAAAGGTCGTCCAATCTTTCTTCAATGCGTTGTTCTGGCGCAGTCTCAGGTCCATCGAAGTTGGGACGCTCTCCAGGCTCATAGTTGTGTTGAGAGTCTGCCTCCTCAACGGTCGACAGGTTGTCCGCGAGCTGATCCCAACCTGCAGAGCGTCTCCTGCCAATAGACCCGCGCTTGGACGAAGTGCGTGACATGCCCGTGGTCTGTCTCATCGAAGTGCCATCGCCGTTGAGAATCTTGTTCATGAAGTTGTTCTCACGCTGCAGGCGAGCATCCTCGACCTGGGCGGCCATTAAGCGCGGGTCATTAGTTTTATCAATACGGCCCTGCTCGATATCATTGGGGTCGACATCAAGACCATATCGCTGTGAGTTCTCCGTGGGACGCTGAGCATTCGCGAGGTTCTGCAGCAGCTCTTCCTTCGTAGGAACCATGCCAGGCCGCACCACACGCGGCAGCGGCTTGGCCAGAGACCAGACAGGTCTGGCATTAGACGGTTGTTCATATGCAGGGTTCAGATCCGCATATCCTGGTTGAACGAATGGCTCTTGAGCCAAGCGCAGCTGGGGGGTCTCATCCGGACCAGCCAGCGTGAACTTGCCCTGAGTACGCTGGGCGAGAGTAGTGCGAGGACCCAAGCTAGAATCTCCACTGGCGCCGCTGCGTCTCGACGCCATCGAACTATGTCGGCGGGTGTTTGAGCCCTCCCGGCCGTCATCAGCTCCAAAGGCGTTTCTCGTCGGCGAGATATAGGCTGCGTCGCTAGCAGTCCGGTTCCGTCCGCCCGGTGATTGCGGTGTCTGGGCATCAGACTATAAAACAAACAATTAGACAGTGGTATCTCTAATCTGCCTTTACAACTAACCCTGGCCCTAGTCCGACCACTTTCCCCTTCGTCCATATTGACCACAGTTCAATTGATAATTTCTCCCCGGGAAGGTCGGCAGTGATAGTAACGTAAAGCTCTTTCCCGAACCAAACGACAGACAGCAGAAGGAGAAAAGAGTAAAGAAAGCCAAATCAGGCGGAGACAACAGGAGACAAGTAACAATTTTGTATTCCAACAGACCACAGAACCAGAAAAACCCCTCCTGCTATCCCTGCCAGGGAAATGTGAACAGGATCAAGAGTCGACGAACTTACGCAATGACGCCAGGATCTTCACGGAACTCCTCATTTGGAATACAAAATAGTGAACGAGTGGATAGTCATCCAGCATATCAGCGTGCTCGGTCTGAAAGTCGTGGCAATGCTTGACATCATTTGGCAGTTCCTGTCCTGATCCACCGACACCGAGCCCACACTGAGGGCCCGCAAGAGCTTGCCTCGTTCAGGTCCGGTTCTGGCACTAGCTCTGCCATGCCGTGATAGTCGGTGGATTGTGGTCTTCTACTGCTGTGAGATTCATATGTTGTATGTAAGTTGCTGTACTGTATGGTTTGCATGTCAGTGTGTCGCCTCGGGAGGTTCGGTTAGAGTATCTTGGCCAATTGTGGGGGGATTGGCGTGCACATTTCATGCAGGTATGTACTGTCTGGAGATCCTATCGACTCAGCAAAGGACCCTGGAAGAGTTCATGAACCTTTAGCAGGGTGAATATATCTTATGAACCCTTGAAATTGGATACTTTCTCCTCTAGAAGTGTCAGAGGGCCTCGGGGGGGTTTTCGGCTTCGTCGTGCCAGGGTTTTATACCTTCACCTCAAGTTCTCATAAATCTTGTTTCTAGTACTATAATTAATTAATAAATAAATCGGAGATTTATGAGCTCCATAGCACGAAATTGTGCAATCTGCTTGGCGCTGCTAGTGGCGTTAGTCTTGCCCCATATGTTATTCGATAGCGAACACCGAATCTTTGCCTGTTTGTCACGCTTTTGCGCTTTTTATCAACCTACCTATCATTGACCTTTCACACCTGGATCGTCAGACTGGATATTCAGCCACATGTATTGGAAGATCACACATCCACTACTCCGTGTACAACTTAAGAGGGAGAATGATACTCTCGTTGGATCAGGTGACCCCTTATCACCCGTGGTCGCCCCCTATACTCTCACCACTGCGGATCAAAAATATTCAGGTAAATATCGATATTCAAAATCTCAGAATGGGTATCATAGAAGCCAAAGTCAACATTCATGCTATACAAATGGGTGACAAATGCCGCAGGCCATCCTTCGTAAAATCACTGGTGGTAAAGCGGCCTTCCGGCAACGCCGACCAGAAAATATCAGAATAGGAATGACTCGCACAGTCACTCTCAAGGAACGCCTCCCCAGTAACAACAACAGTCACAGGGCGCTGAACAACACGCTCCCCATCCCAATGAGAGATGTACCCCCGTTGCCGGAGACGATCGAGCTGCTCAACAAGCAAAGGATACAACTCGTGAAGCGACGTCTTAGCATCAAGCATCAAAAGGAACGTCCGGCTCAGATCGGCATCGAAGATAACCGGGGTTTCGGGATTGAGTGGTGATTGCGACTCCTCGGCCTCCTTGTCGAGTTTCGCCAGAAGAGGGTCTAGACCGAGTCGGTCAAGGAATGCATTGGTATCGGGGCTGGCGACGGCATTACCGATCTGTAGCTCGCCGTCGTGCATCCAGATGGCGGTTCGGAGGCCGTCGCACCCGCCGCCTAGTGCTTTCTTCAGAGCTTGGGGTCGTGTGTCTAGGGTCGGAAACGTGCATGTGCTAGGCTGGACGTGGGTATGGGTTGTTGATGCCGAAGTCGTATGCGGAAGTTCCTTTGGGAGGTCGAGTGGTAGTAAGCGGAAGCACTGGAATGCGGCTCTAGAATAAAGGTCAGATCCAGCATTCTTCAACCCCTATC